TTGTTTCTGATGTACCCAGATAAAAGGACCCTTGTGAAACTTCAGCCTCATCCCGCACATCATCCAAACACCTGGATAGGTCAAATAATCATCTACTGTGTCCCAAGCTGTGTCAGGTGCTGTGCTAGATGCTTGCTATGCTTTACGCATTCAATTCTTTGCAGTAAGTACTGTTAGTTAGTTTCATGGGGGCGGGAGGGGGGGCGGGGAGGGAGAGGACTGAGCGGCCTCATGCTTAAGTAACCTGTCCAAGGTTACCAAACCAAAAAACCAAACTCACTGCCGTCGAGTGGATTCTGTCTCAAAGGACCAAACAGATCTGCCCCCACGGGGACTCGGAGGCTGTGAATCTTTCTAGAAGCAGACTGACATCTTTCTCTGAGCAGCCGCTGATGGGTGAACCAGGGTCCGGTCTTTCCTTTCGCCTAGCAGTCCAGTGCCAGGCCCACATGCCACCTGGCCTTGTAGGGGTGAAGATTTTCCCTCAGCCGTCTGTGTTGAGTGTCTGCACACTTATCTTTCAAGGTTCTCACCACCCAAAGCACAACAGGAAAGTCGGAAAGCCTAGGAGCTGATGCTGGAAAGGTGTCCCAATTCATGAGTCTCCTATTGATATTAATCCACTCTGCCCTCCTCCGCACAACCCACGCCCTCCCGGCCCTCGCCTATCTCCAGTTGCCTCCGCACTGCTTCCTGTTCCTGAGCCTTCCCCGGGGAGCCTGCCTGGCCCAGGCTGCACTCTGTACAGCGGAGCTCTGAGCAACCTTCTCCTTCGCCCCCAGGTTGGGTCCCTGTGCTTCGCTTTCTGTACTTTCCGGTGCAGCCCTCATGCAGAATGCACTGACATGGGTTTTACCAGTTATTTGTTTAATAGCTACTAACAATGGGCTATGTAACCTCTGGGATGGGGAGGGGCTTTTCTTCCATTTCTTAGTGCTGATGTAAGGTTGAAAAATGTCTGTGTACAAAAACGAAGGAGGATTCTAATGGATTTTCTAGGGGAAAACACCCCCTTTTCTCCTCCTCACCATGACATCACCAGACCGTAGACTCCATCAAGGCAGGAATAGTGTCTGTCCCTTCCATCACCATTAACACCAATATTTGAGGAGCCCTGGTGGCATAGTGTTTACAAGGTCAGCAGTTCAAAACCGTTAGCTGCTCTGAGGGAGAAAGATGAGCCTTTCAATGCCTATAAAGAATGATCCACAAGGGCAGCTGTATCCCACCCTATGGGGTCACTGAGTCAAAATTAACTTGAAGGTGTGAGTTTTGGGTTTTTTGGTGGGGGGGGGGGCAGGCAGGGGCAGTCTGTGTCTGCCACACTCACTAAACGCAAGCTAAACCTGTTTTCAATTCCATTCTGACTCAGAACGATCCTATAGATATGGAAGGTAGAATCGCTCCCCATGGTTTCTGAGGAGGCTGTGGGTCAGTCTTTCAGGGAGCCAAAAGCCACATCTGGCTCCCTCCTAGCAGCTGGTAGGTCCAAACTGCTGACCTTGTGGTTAGCATAGGGCAGTGGTTCTCAACCTGTGGGTCGTGACCCCTTTTGGGGGTCAAATTACCCTTTCACAGGGGTCACCCAATTCATAACAGTAGCAAAATTACCGTTATGAGGTAGCAACAAAAATAATGTTATGGTTGGGGGTCACCACAACATGAGGAACTGTATAAAAAGGTCTCGGCATTAGGGAGGTTGAGAACCACTGCATAGGGTAACCAACTTTTCCACCTGCTACACCACCTGACACAGGAAGTGGAAGCCTCTGATTTCTTCTTTGAAAACAGAGCCGATCTGACTAAAGTGCAATTTTTTAAAGCAACCCAAGCACAGGCACAGTCAGTGATTCACAGCCCTCTCCGCGGAAGCGGAAGTGGAAGCGCAATCGCTACCTCTTTCCTCTTCTAAGTCCCTTCCAGGCCCCAGGCAAGGAAGGTCAGGAGCTGAGCAAGGGCAAGGTGGAAAGCACTCTACTCACCTGAGCACCTTCTGGCAGGAGGAAAGTCATTTGCATTGAGGTTAGGTTACCTAGCCCTGGCAGGAGCACAAGGTCATTAAGATTGCCTCTAGCTGACCGATTCATGACACCAGAAGTGGCTGGGCAGCTTTGGAATGGGCAGTCAGGTTGACCAGAAGAAAAATCCAGCACAGGCTGCCTGATCAAAAAGGATAAACACAGTGCCTTCAACCTGTTCAGGAGCAACTCTTCCAGTTCCCATCTTCCACTCTGTACTTTGTCTCCAACCCGGCCCCCCACCCCCAACATACACACACACAGGGCTGCCAAAGAGGTTTGAAACAGAAATCAGAATATCTTACTCCCTTGTTTAAAACCCTGAATACATTAACACTAGCGCTGAAGGGTCACCAGGTCTCCATCCTGCTTGCTTGCCTTGCTCCCAGGCCTCCCTCCGGTCCTGCTGTCAGGCTAGGTTCTCCCCACGCAGGGCCTCTATCTAAGAGCTCCAGCTGCCTGCAAGGGTCTCCTCAGCCTTCCTCTAGCTCACGCTTCTTCATTCTTCCAGCCTCAATGCACAACCACCAGCTACTTCTCAGCAATTCTCCTTGACCTCAGATGAAAGTCCAGCCCCTTTGCCCCACAATGGCCTTCATCACCCCTCCTCTTCCCTCCCAGTGCTTATCATAGCCTTACAGTGCAGAATCTGGCTGTCTTCCCAATAGACTGTGCGCTTCTCACAGGTAGAGGGGACCTGTACCTCACCAAGGACTCTCCAGGGCCAAGGCAGGTACCGCACAGAGGAGAGGAATTAATGACTCTTATCATAACTGTTATACAAAACTGTATTCCAGTTTAGGTTCCACCAGGGCTCCTGGGGCTATGGTGAGCAAAGCTGGCTTTATTCTCATTGTCTGAGCCAGGGCCATGTGTGAGCACTAGCTGCAGTGTGGTGTGATTGCTCTAATGGGCCCAAGAAACAGGGTTTCGGGTCTGTGATGGCTTGAGGGACTTGAGGCAACGTAGAAAGGACCGGCTGGAGAGACCCAGCCTTTCCATTGACCAGGGGCAGGACCCTTCCTTGACCTCAACCCCAAAGCCTTGAGAATGGTTGATGTTTAGCTCCAATTAGTGTCAAGGGAAGAACTGTAAAGCACCCCCATTGTCCTGGTCAAATGTTTTCCTCAAGGTCTTGGCAGAAAGGAAGTGCTGCTGTGACCAGGAGCTAGGCTTGGGAAGGGGGTGGGGGTGGGGTGTAGAAGGCTTTGGATACTGCGTTGGGGTCATCTGGGGGGTTCTGCAAAAAGCGGACCCTGCTCCCTGGCTCAGGAGCCCACTCCCCAAACCTCTAGGCCTGAGCTGGAAGCCTGTGTTTAGCGTCTCTGACAACAGCCAAGTGCATGCTTTCTTTCCATCTTACTGTGGCGCAGGAGGAAAAAGACGCCTTCACAATCTCCCGGTGTAGCCAGAACACCAAGCAAGCCAAACCGCTCCCCCCCCCACCACACACACACACACACACACACACACACACACCCCCCCCCACACACACACACAAGGCTTCAGGCTCTGCTCTTATTCCCGCATCAAAGTCCCCCATCCCCTCTAAGAACCGAAATAGACTCGAAGGCCTGGGAGGGTAGTGGGTTGGTTACAGGGGGCTCCCGAGAGGCTACAGCCTCCTCCGTTCCTGGGCGAAGCAGGGCCTGCAGCTTGGGCTCCCAGCCTTCCCGAAGTCATGCCTAATGGCGAGGGCTTCTCTCACAGGCCAAAGCAGCTCTGCGACACCCTTCCCCCACCCCCAACCCCGCCCCCCAAACAGTAAAGAAAGCTTCCCCGGGCATTTCCATTTCCTCTGCGGCTCCGGGCCCTGTTGTTATTTAATCCCTCAGCCACCCCGGCAGCATCCTCGGCGCAGCCGGCTCCACCCATCCACCTGGCCAGTTCTCGGCGGCTCCTACTTCCGAGAGTGGAGGTTGGGGGGCCGCCTACGACAGCCAAGGGCCGCGGGCTGGATGCAGTGAAGGCTGGAAAACAGACGTGGGGTGGAGAGGGGCAGCTGGCCAGGGCGGCCTCCTGGGCACTACATGCATCACACTGGCTTGGGGTGGGGGAGTACTGCGGGACGAGGGCCAGGCCTCCTGGCCCGGTAGCCAGCCTCACCCCGGGGGGTACTGGAGCCCGAATAGACTTCTCCCGTGTCACTGTCCACACCCAAGAAGCGGGGGAGGGGTGGCCTGAACTCCATCCAGGGAACTAAAGCCTCCGGAAAGGAGCCAGATTCTTTCAACAACCCCCGCCCCGCCCTTTTTTGATAGGGAAGATTGACATTTTCTTCATTTGGGGTAAATGCAGCTTCAAGGCCCCTCCCCTCGTGCCCCAAGGCGCCACTGGTCTGGAGAAAGAGAAGGCCCCAGCAGGGGTCTTCCCGCGCCCCCGCCCAGGCTGCTTGAGGCGAGTGGAGATCTCCTGAGAAGTCTAGGTGTGCCTTCCTCCACCCTTCCCTGGGCCCAGGACTTGGAGGCCGCAGCGCCCCCACCCCCCACTCCCCACCGCACCCCCAGCGACACTGACGGTTCCTGCCCAGGCCCGCAGTGTCGTGAAGGTGGCCTTTACCTCCTTTCGCAGGCTGGGAGGGGGTACAACCCGCGCAGCTGAGCCAGCTGCAGCAGCCGCCGCCGCCGCCCTCCATTCATTAAAAAAAAAAAAAAAAGCGACAACAACCTCCACCCCTCTTTGTAAAGAAAAGACGGCCCCTTGAGGCGCGAGAGCCAGCCCCAGCAATCACGGGTTAAGTCCTTTTCCGGCCCCCCATTCATAAAAAAAGGAGCGCAGCGCATGCGCGCGCGGGGGTCTCTTGTGCCCACCCATTCATAGAATCGCAGGCGGCGCGCGTGCGCACTGGCGTTCCCTTCCCTCCCATTCATAAAAAAGCCATTTTCCCAGGCAGTGGTTGCAACATCGCCGCGGAAGCAGCGAGCTGAGCTGACAGCGCGGAGCTGGCGCTGCGAAGCGCAGGGAGCCGTGCCGGTTTCTCCGGCCGGCGTCTGCTCGGACAGCCACTGCTGACCCGCTCGGGTTCTGGGATTTATTCAGTCGCGGAGCGATGCTTGTGATTCTACGGCTCCTCAAAGTAAGTCCCTGGTCGGTTTCGGAATCTGAAACTGTCCCCACTGGAGCCGCGACGCGTCTCCCCTTTGGGCTGGGGCAAAGGGTGCGCTATTTCTAGGCGCGCCTCGGTGTTCCTTCCTCTCCTTGCGCTTCCTTGAGTCACTGTGGGGCGCCGCAGCTCTCTGCCGCCCTCGGCCGGGCCGGCCCCGCCAGGAGACGGGGGTGGGGAGAGGGGTGGTCACAGGCTGGCAGCGCCGTTTCCGACCCTCGGGCATTGCCAAGCCCTGCTTCCCCGCCCGCTGCTACTCGGGAAGCCCCATGCGTGTCCCGGGAGTTTGCCTCTGGCCTGGCCTGCCTTTTGCTCCTGCCACCCGCCGCCTAGGGCGCTGGAACAGGAGGCTGTGGGTTCGACCCGGAGCCACCTCTGGGGTCTTGGGGACTCCCTGGCCCTGGGCGGCTCGCCCACCCGCCGGCTCGGTGCCCACGAGGCCAGCTTTGCCGTTTGGCCCTCCGCAGAGGCCTATTCTAGAAGTCGGTTTTTCTTTTCCTTGGAGCTCTGACGGGCCGGGGTTCCTCCTCTCTTTGCTTCTCCCTCGATGGTCAGCGCGTGGCCGGCCCGGGACTGGCTATTTCTGCTCCCTCCTTGGCAAGGCGGTTCCTCGTCGTCTGACCTTTGCTCCGCTGCCGCATTTTATGCTGTGCAACTGCCTTGCAGTTGCTTTCCCCCTACCCGGCCTCTGCAGAGCCCCAGGTTCTCGGCCTCCCTAGTCCCAGGCACCGAGCTGTGCCAGGTCCCCAGGCCGCGCTGGGGCTGTGCTGGGGGCTGAAGGTGCGTTTACATAACGCCGGGCGTGGGAGCTGGGGGAAGAGGTTGCGTGGTAGGAGCGATAAGGTTCTCGCTTTCCCTTCTGCCTTGGTGGGACCAGGCTGGAGCTTGACATCATCGAGGAGAGAGAAGGATCGAGACGGTACGTTCTGAAAATTGTGGGTCGCCAAGGCCACCGGGACCGTGAGGGGGGCGAGGGCGGGTTTGAGCAGCCTGGGCGGCTGGAGCGTGGCTTCCATCACCGGGCCAGAGCCGTGCCTAGTTCCCCCTCCATGAAGACGATCAAAAAAGCATTTAGACAGTAGCTGCTCTTGTGCAAGAGCACGGTTTCTCAATTCTCTTTGATTGGGGGCTAGGGGTTGTGGGCAGAGCAGGCAAGAGAGGCGGCCTGAGGTGGAAAATGGTTTCGCGGCTTGACGGGCTTAAGGGATGGACGGCCGAGGGGAAGTGGGCTGGGGGCAGGCGCCTGGCCGCCTGGTATCCATATTGCCAGGCCTGGGCAAGGGCAGGCGGCAGCCTTATGGCGCAGAGAGGTTCTCCAGCGCGATTAGTGCTGGAAGGTTCAGTGGAGCGCCCAGACTCAGTGACAACGTCGTGTCCCCCGCCTGCCCCCGCCCCCCTTTCTGCCTTAAAGTCGGTGGCGAGGCCCGACACAGGTGGAGGCCAGAGAACCTGTGGCAGGGTGGGAGCAAGCCCGGGTGTGCCAACCAACCTCTCCAGCCGCCCTGAGCGGCCTTTCTGGGAAAGAACTGGAAGGTAAAAGCCCTGATGGGTTGGGAAAACATGGGCTTCTCTATCTCTTAATAGACTCGGCCTGGCCTGAGGCCCTGCCCAGTGTTGCACTGGTGGATTTCACAATGTTTAGAGTTCTCCGAATCTTCATACAAATGGAGCATAGACATCTGACATTTTCAGAGTTGTGTCCCCCGTGGGCCGCCCCCTCCCCCAAGTGGGTGTGGGGCAGACTGGGAAAGGGAAGGCTAACAATTAGCCTTTCTAACTCTCCCTCTCTCCCTTCAGAATAGTGGGAGGGGTGGGGGGGGCAGACTGGGGTGTCCAGTGGGAAATCAAATTTTCTCTCTTCTCAGCCCTTGAGAGGGTCAGGGTTTGCCAGCGGGCCTGGGCTGAGTTCTAACCTTGGTGAGCAGTACACACACACACAGGCCAAATGAGTGCTGGGTGGGGGAGGATTTTGGTGTAACATATCCTAGAAATCTTGATGGGCAAATGTTGGTCGACTGAGGGTGGTCTTCCTTTCTAGATCTGGTCTCAGGAGTCATGTAAACTCCTCTCCTGCACTTGATCCTCCTGTCCATCCCCACCATCATTTCTAGCCTTGGGGTCGATGGAAAGAAACAGGAGTAGACTGGGCAGCATTGGGACACCCAGTTATCATTTTTGTCCCAATTCTTGACTCTGGGAACCTGGCCTTGCAGGTTACCAGAGGTGTGGCTGGCTTTCCTGAATAGCTAAGGAAGATGGCCTCTTGCTGCATGATCCGGACACAATTTAAAAATTAGGGGAGGGACAAACCATGACCACCACCCTCCTTGGCCCAGTGGGCGGGCTGTTGCTCTAGGGTTTGATCATTTGGAATCTCCTGTAGGGAGGTGCCCCTTGGTGGGCCATCTTCCAGCCTCCAGTTGTAGACTCCCCACGATTGTTTCTTTCATGGGACCATCTTGTTGAGTAGGATTGAGGTGTTGCTTGATACCCAGGACACTTATTTTTGCACACACCTCTGGGGCTGAGAATATGGTTGAGTGATTTGGGTTTGGGATCGAACATGGCTCAAAGAGGAATGTCCAAAGTGGAGATGGTTTCATCTCATGGCACACCTGGGTCTCCCGAGCTGGGAGCAGCAGCAATTCCCTGGAGTATATTGTGAATCATTCAAAGGAAGCAGAGGAGAAGGTGAGGAGCGTTCAGTATATACTCAAAGCTGCCTTGGTCCTTTCAGACTCATCTTGGGCCCTTGCTTTTCTCCATCTGCAGAGTGGAGGACAAACACTTCCCGAGGGAACTGCTAGTGACTGTCCAGGGGACATTATTCCCAGAGCTAGCGGGAGGGTCTGGATTTAAGGGAGCCCCTGGCTGCACAGAAGGCTCTGAGTGTTGCATGATGTAAGAGGCTGGGTATTCTTGGCTCTGGGGCCACCCTGCAGATCCGGACAGCTGACAAGGCTGGGGAATGTATCCAGGACATGTGGCTGGGCTTAAGCAGTTCCACCGTTCAGCTGTGATCACGATTGTTCTTTCCAAGGACAGACCCCAGTCAGTGGAGGCAGCTAGGACGCTGGGGAGGGAGCGCAGATGTGCTGGATCTAGTGGAGGAGGGAAAGGGGCCCTTCAGGGGCACGGGACTCCTTGCAGAAGAGTGGTCTTCAGTGTCTCTTCCTCTTCTGGTTGGGGGAAGAAGGAGTCATTTCCTCTCCTAGCCCAGGAATAGTTGAAACTCTATTAATTTAATAGTGTTCATTGGGTGACCGCAGGACAACCCTCCCCCTGGGGTCTAGCTCTCTGGACCTGTCTGAGACCTTGAAGTGGGCCAATAGTTCTCCAACTGTGCCAGCCGGTCATGGGCACCTCCTAGCACCATTCTGGCAGCACAGGAAAGCATCCATCGATGCCTGTTACGTAGTCCAAAGCTAATGTCAAGCAAGACCCTTGCCTGCCTGTGGAACCCCTCGGGCTTGAGAGAGAAGAGTGGGAACTGGGAGTTAGTCAAGGGTGAGATTCTACAGAGCTGGCCCGGGGAGAGGGGAAGAAGGCTGCTGCAATGTTTCATGTTCCCACTGGGACCCTGCTATGCTGAGGCTGTCTTCCGCTGGAAGGTAGGGAGAAAAGGGCAAGGTGCCCCTGGTTTCTCTGCTCCCCCCACCCCATAACTGCCAGCCACCTTTTTAAAGCCAGAAGTTGGTCATTTGGTTTTAGCTTAATTGACTAAACCGGTTGTCACAAAGAACCAGGCAAGAGTGGTGGGCAGGCTCTCTGGCAACCCCAAGACCCTTTACTCTGAGTTGCTAAAGGGTTAAACAACCTCCCCTGAAAGAGCCTGCTGAGACTGAATGAGGCAGTGCAGAAACTGCCCATTCATTCAGAACTTTTCTTGCCAGTTTGTCATTAGCTGACCTGTAGTTTTTTCAAAGCACAACTCTCAGGTTTTCCCAATATTTCCCAAATCCCTAGAGTAAGTCAGGGAGTCGGGTGGGGGGTGGGGAGACAAGAGGGGGTTGTCGTGCGGGCAGCAGGATCGACTCAAGTGTGCCAGCATTTACCACGCCTCTTGGTTCTTTTTAGCCAGCCTGTATTGAGCGAGTCTGCAGCCCCTGCAGGTACACATGCAGTGTCAGACTGGCCAGCTCTGGGCGCCGACCACCAAGCAGCAAATACGGGGCTGTATGTTCCAGGGCTTTCCGTATCCTGCTGATTCAGTATTCTATGACTCTCCGTCCTTTCCTGGCTTCCTCTGACCCTGTCTCCTCCATCTCTTCCCCAACAGCTCAGGGGCCAAGGAAGCCTTACCAGATGGAGGGGAAAGGAGAGGGGATCTTCCAACCCCTGACTACTTCCCTGGTTAGAAGTGAGGTCCATTCAATGCTAAGAAAAAAATGAAAGGTGTTTTTCTGTGAGGTGGGGGAAGGCATGACAGAGACAATTGATTGAATCGGGAGTGGAGGTCACTTGAGCTCTGAGAGCATTGTAGACACCCTAGCGTCAGCACCCCTTGCTGAAATTAGCCCTATCAGATAGGAGTCAGGCTGATCGAAGCGCTCCCTAGCTCAATTTTTTTTTGCAGTTTAGGTTACTGGTCTCTACTCTGGTCTCATGAAGTTCCCTCAGGGGTGGTAGTAGACTTGGGGGTGGGGGCTCCTATGAAAGTGACTGGCCCCTTCATACCCGGGTATGGCTGCAGTCTTGGGAGTCATGCTATCTGGGTTCGAATTCTGGCCGGATGACTTGTTGGCTCTGTGATCTTCCTTCATGCTTCCATTTCTCCCTCTGCAAAGTAAGCAGTATCTCCATGGCAAGGAAGCCAGCAGCATCCATGAGGAGATCACTAGCATAGCACCTGGCACCAAGAAAGGTTTCCTAATGTCAGCTGCTTCCCTAATAGTCACAATAATAATTTCCCTACAAACATCATGCTAATAATAATAATAATTATTAGAACATTCATGTGGAGGCAAAAGACTCCTTCCCTCCCGAATCCATAAGATCTGCCCCCTCAAACGTGATTAGGAGCCCTTCTGTGGCTAAGTGGAGTGCTGGCATTGCGTCTCTGTCCAGAGTCTTCCAAATTGGCTATCAGTCTCCTCCAAACGGCCTAAATGAGGCAAAGCCTCCTCTCCTATTTATATTATAAATCTCTTCCTTGCTTGCAGAGGAAGCTGAGAGTCCATATTAAACTGCACTTAAGTTCCTTGGTATTGCTTCAGACTAGAAGGTGGGTGGGTGTGCCCCAATGAGCACAAAGAGATTGATCTTCTAAACCAACTGAGGGTTGGGAGGTGTTTTTTTTTTTCTTTCAAAGACATCATTTAGCTGTGCTGAAGGGCTATCAAACAGGCAGCTCAGGGAGTTGTTTTTCTTTGTCGCATACATTCAACAGAACCCTCCTTTGGAGGGCTGTCCCCTGCTCACGGGGCAGGGAGGCCACAAGGCCCCCGGGAAGGTCTGAGCAGTTGAATTCTGAACCAGTCCCTGCCTTTTGCCAAGCTGGTGGCTGGAAGATCTGCATCTTGGCTGTGACGGGGACGATGCCTGCTGGAGCCATCGGGGATGTTACAGGTGCCAGTCATCCCAGGCCAAGCGCCTTCCTCTCTTCTGGCCACAGTGGCAGGCCCAGATGTTGACAGCTGCCTCTGCAGGGAGCTGGGAGCCCTTGGCAGCAGCGGCTGCGCCCACTCTGGTTTCCTGCTGCAACTTCACTAATTGGGGAGTCTGCCCTACACTTCCAGGGCCTTTTACGATCCCAGAATATTGACATGGTGGCTGTTGTTCAGGAACTCATCCCCCGTAAGGGAATCGGAGTGAGAAGTGGGTGATCTGCTTGGGGAAGGGAGGGAGGAGTTCCCTTCCCTCTTGGCAAATCTCAGTCCTGGATCCGAGACAGAAAGCCTAGCTTCATGGAGCAGTTCGGTGTCCAAGTACTCTTGACATTCCTCTTCAGGGATTCTGGAAAAATACAGGAATCCATGTATTCTTTTCCTCCTCAAGGGTCATAGGTTCTGGCTAAGGCATCATCTACCTGGTCTGGTACCAGGTGAGTCTTGTCCTGTGCCTGTCAGCCTCTTCCATTTTTGGGCCTTGCTAACACTTTTTCTCCAGGCGAGTTCTCAAGGCTGGGGCTACTAGGACCTGGTTTGCTTGATTTCTCCCACCCCTCCATTTCAGTTTATTCTAACAGCAAGGCCTTGGGACACGTACTCAGAATGAGTGGGTTGGATCGAGGTGGCATTCCCTCGAGGAATAGTACAGTACATAGTACAGTAACCACACTGTACTATGGGGATATTATCCCTTCTCTAATTGGACTTCCTCATCCGAGTCCCAAGGAGGGAAGCTGCCTTGACAAATGATTGCCCAATGACAGACCTGCCAGACACCTAAGCGAAACCCTGCCACCAGGACATCTCTCGATTCGAAGTGGCGCTCTGGTTTCATCTGAAGGGAGCACGGGGATCAGCAGGCCATTTACAAGAGGCGGAGACCCCAGTGTAAAGAAACACCAGCATCTTTTAAGTAGATAGGGGTGTGGGAGTAAAGCCAATAGTTCATGCGCTGTGTGATTGGGAAAATCAGTTGACTAAGCATTAAACTTTAGAGAGAAGACTTCATGCCTCTTTCTTTTCTCCCCTTTTTGCATTTAGTAGTATAGATGACATACAGCTGCAAGCCCTGTGGATAAACCCTCTCTCATCCCCTTCGTGAACTTTTCATTTAGAGCAGCAGTTCTCAACCTGTGGGTCTCAAACCCATTGAGGGTGGAACGACCCTTTCACAGGGGTCGCCTGACTCATAACAGTAGCAAAATGACAGTTACGAAGTAGCAATGAAAATAATATGGTTGGGGGGGTGGGGGGGTCACCACAACATAAGGAACTATATGAAAGGCTCGCAGCATGAGGAAGGTTGAGAACCACTGAGTTAGAGCCAGCTCTTTATTTCAGTCTGGCTGGAAAGCAGCTAAAGGACTCTTCGCCCAAATTGAACTACTTCTGGTCCAACTGTTGTCTCCATGTGTAGGGCAAGACTACTCCAAACGTGTGCTGCCCACCTCAACCCCTGCTTTCATTTAATTAGCATTGGCAAGTCATGCCATTGTCCTGTGATTGAGATATTGGAAGGGACCAACAGTGACACCCCACCCCACCCCCCCACCTGGAAGCCTGGCCCCAAGCCCATCTCAGTATCACCTTTGAGGCAGGAAGAGCATAGCGGCTGCCGAGCAGCTAGCTCCTTATTAGAACATCCTTTGGATTTTGGGAAGCCATTGAGTGTAACCACACCCACCTCACAGCAACCCAGGGGTCTTTCAAAAACAAACCAAAAAGAAAAGGAACAAACTTCCCCACTATCTGCGCCCTCCTCTGACCCCGGCACCTCCTGGGATTCGGAAGATTCAGCGTGGAATCTTCCCAGAGCCTGAGATTTTCCCTTGGATTCCAAACGGGGTCCCCTTGAGCAGAGGTCCTGGCCTTGTGCTTCTATTTCTTTAAATCGATCTCTAGGCGAATTCCGAATGTAAAGGTCAGCAGGCAAGGAAATGGCACTTCTACTAGAAAACAATGTGCACTTTCTAAATTTGAACCAAGCCGTTTCCGCTCTTTGATTTAAGTGACTTCCTGGGGTTCCGTGTCAGGCACTGCAGTTGAATCTCTGGCCAGATTCCAACTTAAAATTGCACTCTCGGTGAAATTAGAAACTGATCCAGGGTTGGCTTAGCTATTCTAGTAAATAGCATTTAGGCTGAATGTTCAGCTCCGCACTTGGAAATGGGTGCTGGGAGTGCCCCTGGAGAGGATTTCCCATCCAAGTTGTCAGAAGCTCACCTATCCCGGCCTGATGAGCCCCTGGAGGTTGCCGCTATTAGAAGTGGTGGTTACCAAGTTAAGGTTCTCCCACCCCCACACACCTCAGGTACAGCTCCTCCTGAAATGGGAAGGCTTCTGCTTACCCAGCTAAGCAACCCCAAACAGTCCGTGGTCACCAGCACCCGGCGTGGCACTCAGTACTTGGGAACCCTAAGGCTATCTTAGCCGGCACTCTCGTCCATTGAGGATGGGATATTGAGCACTTGCTGTGTGCCTGGATTCTTTACAACACACTTTGTAGATGACAAAACTCCAGGGCATTGAGGTTACAGCAACCCCCGCTAGGCAGATGGCAAAAAGTGGATGATGGGTCTCCTTCCCGATTTTGTGTCAATTGAGCTGTCCACGTCCTCTGTGAGGAGAACAGAGTCTGACTGCCCAGGTCGGAGCTTGTGGTTTGTGTGGCTCCGGACAAGTTACTTTGAACACTCTTGCGGAGTTTTCTAACTCAGGAACGCGTTGGGGAGGGGAGACCTTTTTTTAGGGTTATGGTGACAAGTCCAGTGACTTTATCTGTGGGGGTTAGGAGAGTACCTGGCCCACAGGAAGTGCTTTAACAAGTGGGATTTCTACCACTTGTTAATCATCTAAGTCCTGGGAGATGCTTGAGAGCCCGCTCGGATCTGTTTCGGATCTGTTTCCGTTTCAGTTGGGCTCCCAGGGAGTGGATGGGGAAGTGTTGACAGGCCAAGTACTGATGGCTGGAATCCGTTCTCTCTTCCTTTTTCCCCACCCCCAGGGCCCTTAGGAGTCTGTTTCTCCAGCAGTCCAGGACCTCCAGCCCCATGGAGCCCCCGATCCCACAGACCGCTCCCCTGACTCCCAGCTCAGTCATGGGCCAGCCCCACCTTGACAGCCGAATGCCCCACAGCCGGCTCCAGCACCCACTTACCATCCTGCCCATCGATCAGATGAAGACCAGCCACGTAGAGAATGACTACATAGACAACCCTGGGGTGGCACCCCCTGCTACTGGCTCCAAGCGAACCCGGGCCGGGGGCCCTGAGCCCACCCCGATGCCACCCCGCTGCGACCAAGACGTCACCCACCACTGGATCTCCTTCAGTGGGCGCCCGAGCTCTGTGAGCAGTAGCAGCAGCACGTCCTCCGACCAGCGGCTTCTAGACCACATGGCACCACCACCCGTGGCCGACCAGGCCTCCCCGAGAGCCGTGCGCATCCAGCCCAAGGTAGTCCACTGCAAGCCGCTGGACCTCAAGGGCGGTCCTGCCGCCCCACCCGAGCTGGACAAGCACTTCCTGCTGTGTGAGGCCTGCGGGAAGTGTAAGTGCAAGGAGTGTGCGTCCCCCCAGACGTTGCCCGCCTGCTGGGTCTGCAACCAGGAGTGCCTGTGCTCCGCCCAGAACCTGGTCAACTACGGCACTTGCATGTGCTTGGTGCAGGGCGTCTTCTACCACTGCACCAACGAGGACGATGAGGGCTCCTGCGCCGACCACCCCTGCTCCTGCTCTCGCTCAAACTGCTGCGCCCGCTGGTCCTTCATGGGCGCCCTTTCCCTGGTGCTGCCCTGCCTGCTCTGCTACCTGCCCGCCACGGGCTGCGTGAAGCTGGCCCAGCGCGGCTACGACCGCCTCCGCCGCCCCGGCTGCCGCTGCAAGCACACGAACAGCGTCATCTGCAAGGCAGCCACGGGCGACGCCAAGGCCAGCGGACCCGAGAAGCCTTTCTGACACTGGGTGGATGCGCCCGCGAACCCCCGTCCTGGCCCCCCAAGCTAACTCAGCTCCCTTCTGACACCTGAGAAGACCACGGCCAGGCCAGAGGCTTTAGCCTCCTGGGGCCACCCTTGCTCCCCAGCCTTGGAGGAAACAGACCGCCATTGCCCACCCCTTAAGCCCCCACAGGAGACAGAAGCACTCGGGGAGGTTTATTTCAGGGTCCTAGAACTTTTGTGTCAGGCAGACTGGTGGGGTGATGGTGGGGGTGTTTCGGGGAGGAGTGGGGATTCTTTCATTTTTCAGAAGCCACAACACAGATGTGGATACATCCAGAGGTCGTAGCAACGTGAATGCCTTCCCCGCCCGTCCCTCCGCCCTCCCCCTTTCCCACTCTCTGAGCTCCCTAGTTGCTGGCTGCCCACAAGTCATCTTTAACATAGTGGCCAGGGCCCCTTGTTAGAAGACCTTTGACAGCTAGCCCCTATCCTCATCCTTGCCCCACCCCAGTCTGACTCCCTTCACCTTGGGGAAGGTATAGCACACCTAGAGGTCCCTGGTGTACATGGCAGGGGGAGGGGCCAAGGTGGCAATGCCCTGCCTCCGCTCCCCCCTACCCCCCAGGGCCTGTCCTGGAGATGGCTTCAGGTGTGGCTCCGCCCGGCAAACGTCTGTCAGGCTTCATCACTAACTCCGGAGGGCCGTCCACTCCCAAGCTGGCCTTCGGTCCTTTACCGTGCCCCAGGCTCGCCTGCCCACCACGCCTCCTGAGTTCTCTGCTCCGGTCGTGTCGGAAACTTGGTGGGCAGAGACAGCCGGGCCAGCAAACGAGACCAAATAATCATTTTGCCAATGAGTCTGAGGCTGTGGTCTCTGGACCCAGTCGCTCTGTTTTTATAGAATAATTAAACCAGATGCTAACGGTGTTTTAAAAAAAAAATAGAAAACACTTGTTTCCCTTTGGGCCACCCCCAGGAAGGGCTGATTTTTCACAATCTGGGGGACAAACAACCTCACGGAACACCACTCCCCCCTCCCCACCGGGAAGAGGATTTTAACAGCAAAGAAGAGCGGGGCAAGCACAGCTTCTGTTGGCAGAAGGGCAGCCCCGCCGAGCTGGGTTTGGGCTTCTCTTGGTATTCTGCTCGCGCTCAGCCTTTTGTGGATAGTGATGCGTCTGGATCTTCAATGTAAATAGAGAGATGGTGACAAGTCTGTATTAGTGTTAGGAGCCCCCCGAGGCAGGGCATCAGCAGAGCATGGTGGGAAAGGCTTCGGGTGCTTCCGGGATGGAGCCCTGCTCCTGGGCCCCAGGCACACTACCCGCTGGCAGCCCCAAGGCCGGAGCAACCCTTTCTCAAGGACTCGGAAAGTACAGCACGGTCCAGGGTGTAGGTACGTGTTGCATGCAGAAGTTGTCGTGTCTGCTCCTTCCTCCCTAGCTGTTGTGTGCGCCGGCGGGGTGTGTGTGTGTGTGTGTGGTATTTTGTTCCCCCTTCTAGTAAAAGGAGGTAGCCTGGGTCCGAAGAGCTACCCGAGGTGAAATTGGAAGCGTGTGTAGGCAGGGCATTTGTAGACGGACAGAACTGCCTCCCGGTCACTGCCATTGGCGTGAACACAGTGCTTCTCAAGGACGTTTCTTTTTATCCATCCTCTTTTCATTCGTGACAAGTAGTAGTTAACACCTTATGCTTTAGAATAAGTTAATTGTACCTGTAGGTATTTATTGATTGGAGGAAGGGAGGGGAGGGTCTTATTATTTTCGGCTTTATTTATGTAACATTCGCTAGCTTGTAAAAGGCAAACATGAAAAATGGCATCGGTGTTTCCTAAGGCTGATTCACGAAGCTGGCCTTGCCACAGTTAGGATGATGGTAGAGAGACGCATTCAGCCAACCACTTAACTCTACTAACTGAATGTATCCGCTGTATACTGACAGGACTGGAGAGGCCCTCGGAATAGGTGTCCAGAGCTTGCCCAAACACCAGAGGGCATGTGTACTCTCGGCCAGCCTCTGAGCTTTCCCAGTGTCCTGACCGCAAATCGCCCCCATGGGAAACAACCCAATGGCAAATTGCACTTTGGTAATCTTGGTGGTCTACGCACCCATTCTGTGGAGAATTGATTTACCATATATAAGCTGTGTATGCACACATACCACACACACACACTTAATCCCACTCTGACCCGCGACCTGCATAGACTTTGTCTTCAAGCTGAGGCCCTCCTCCTTGAACCCTGACTTTTTGTGTATATAGTTGTAAACACGGATCTTTCTGGGTTTTGGTTTGCTTTATTTCCCCCCTATTTTCCCCCCTTTTGGCTTAAGTTTGTGTTTTAACTTGCTTAGATGGATGTCTGCAGAACTCTCCCCAGGAGTTTCCCTGGATGCCCTGTGAGCTCAGTGGTAAAGGGAAGGACTGGAGCCTTGTGGGTTCTCCCAGCTCTCTTGTGTAGCAGTTCCCTCCCTTGTGCCCCCAGCCCCAGCTTCTCCGCCAAAATGAAAGAAAAAACTGGCCCTTGGGCCTTTAGGCCAGTCAAGGGCCATTGAGAGGACCAGGCGCTCAGAAAGAGAACCATTTCTGTGGCTGTTTGTGGTTCCTGTTAACATCTTTGCTTGGCAGAATAATGCCTTGTCTTGACCTGTTTTGAAAGTGGCCACCTGGCTCCTTTTGTACAGCCTGGGGTGGGCAGTGGTTCTGGGCATGAGGGCCCTTTGCTGGTCCTCCTGGGTCTTAGGGGGCAGCAAAGCTCATTTAGATGTCAGGGCATCGCCAAGGCTTCTCAGAGCATGTGTCGGGAAAGGGATCGAAGACTTACACTCTCGGCTGCTCATCTGGGCCTCTTCCAAGCCGACAGGTGGAGGACCTGCGCCGGATGCATCTGGCTCTCCCAGCCCTGCGGAGGCTGCACCAGCCCCCATCGGACACAGGAGCCGCTGAGGCCCAGGTAGACAATGGGTCTAGAATAGACCAAACCACAGATGACACCACTGAAAGCTGTGTTCTCTTGCCCCCTGCCCCATACCTGTTGGATGACTGTGGGCAGCTCAACCCACCAGGGCATCCGCCAAGCTGCACCGGCCTTTTGCTTTCCTGCCTTTGGTAAGCATTTTCACACCTTTGCTTACTGTGACAGTCGATGACGAATCTGGTGTTGCCTGTTGGTTTGTGGTTTTTTTTTTGCTGTTGGTAACTTCGTGCCGTGTCTTTGCCTTGCTTTTTCTGCGCACTGCCCCACAGTTGGTTCGGTTTCGTGTTACAAACAGAAAAGCTATCCAAGACCCGCTGCCCGCCCCGCCACACCCCGACTCTATTGCCCCCTTCACGTAGCCCCTTCTTAGCCCACAACAAAAGTTACCACAGAAGGTTTCCTTTGTATAGAATATTTATTTTGAAGCTCTATTTTAATAGTATTTATTTTAGAAAGTCTACTATTGTAAGAGTTCTTCTGTTTGTGAAGAAAAAACAAGTTAAAAACTGAATGTACTGATCTAGAAAATATATATAAATATATATTGTTAAATATACACGGATGGCTGTTTCTCCTGTGTTTTGTGTGTACCCTCCACTGACCTCCCCTGGCAAGGCCCCACGTTGGCACAGAATGCCTCGCACTGCACTCATGAAAATGCAAAACCCCAAATCAGGCTTGCTTTGAAAAAAAACCATTTTTTTGATACTCGTTCTGATTTCCTCTCAAGCTCCGGTGGAAGACTGGGCAGGGAGGGAAGGGCTTTCTGCACTGGGGGACGTTCCCTGGCCTCCCCAGGATGACTTTCGGGCCAGGGGAGGGAAGCTTCATTATACTACGTGGTCAGACAGGTGCTGCTAAGTTTTTCTGCCCCCTCTCCCCCAGGCAAGCTATTCCCTAGCCTACAGTGTATTTGAAATACAGATGGACAACAGACTGAAGACTGGTGAGAAAATTGGGGGAGAGGTGAGACAGAGCCACTTGTGCACCTTCACGTGCACCTCAAGAAAGCCGACAAAGCCAATACGGAACCCACTGCCTCGGAATTAATTCCACTTCACAGTGACCCTGTGGGGCAGTAGAACTGTCCCACCGTGTATCCACGGCTGTACATTAGCCTCATCTTTCTCCCAGGGAGCAGCCTGTGGATTTGAATCACTTTTGTGGTAGCAGCTGAACACTTAAGCCGTGATGCCACCAAAACTCTTAAACCCACTGCCATCAAGTCAGTTCTGCCTCATGGCGACCCTATAGGACCAGGTAGAACTGGCCCTGGGGGGTTCCGAGACTAGCTGTTTATGGGAGTAGACAGCCCCATCTGTCTGGAGCACCTGGTGGTTTCAAACTATAGAACTTGTGGATCACACTGAGTAACCACTCTGCCACTAATTTCCCTTTTTCTACTGGACCTAAATGAACAAAACTGGTAGCTTGGACCTAAAGCGTCTCATCCACTTAATGATTTGCTTTTTCCTCACACCCATCAGCTCTCTCTCCCCGCCCCGTGCCCAGAATACACAACCAACCTGGGCGTCTGGTCCGGCCACTTGACCCCTCTGCCTTCCATCATATTTTTGAGCATGTGAAAACACACTTGGCTCGTTTCTGGAGGAAAAAGTAACTGGTTTTTCTGTTATTGAAAGTAAGTAGTGGGGGTGCCTGGGCCCTTTCCTAAACCCCTCAGATCCGAAAACTGTTAGGTGCCATCGAGTTGGGTCTGAGCTATGATCCCAGCAGAAGGTAGGTAACACCCCCCAATCCTGCGCCTGAGCCGTGGTTGCCGCCACGGTGTCCATCTCCTTGAAGGCCTTCCCCTCGCTTTGCTGTCCCTCTGCCAAAGGTGATGGCCTCCTCCAGGGACAGTTTTCCCCTCGATACCGTTTGCCACGACCAAAATTCAAATGCACTGACTCTTTGGGTCTTTTTTCAATGCCCAACTTCTGCATGCATATGATGAGGCAGCAGAAAACCCCATGTGTGGGTCAGGCGCACTTTGGTCCTCTCAAAGTCACCGCCTTGCTTTTCAACACTGGGGCTATAGATGTACCCAGTGCAGCTCATCATGTGATCACTGCACGAAAACTGGTCTTCCTCAGTGTGGGCTTGTCTGCTCCAGAAAGTTTAGACCAGTGGTTCTCAACCGTCCTAATGCCGCGGCCCTTTAATACAGTTCCTCACGTTGTGGTAACCCCACCAACCCATAAAATTCTTTTTTGTTGCTACTTCAGAACTGTAATTTTGTTAGTTATGAATTGGGCGATCCCTGTGAAAGGGTCGTTCGACCCCCAAAGGGGTTGCGAACCACTGGTTTAGCTCAGTGGGTCGCGTGGTCAATCAGCGCTCCCAAACCTGCGTTTGCTGACCAGGTGAGTGAGCCGATGGCCCTCGGAAATGGTTTCCCTTATTGACTCAAGTCTTACAATCAGTGTAAAGCAGGCTTTGGCTCTCTCGTCCTGGGTTTCCTGATGGGGACAGCGTGGGTGAGGACTGGGACAGCCCTGCCACATGCTCCTTTGTCTCTTGGGTGTGCAGTTTGTAAACAAACCAGAATGATCATGATTTTGAATGTCTGAGGTTTCACCTGCCCAACTAACTTTTTGGGGACCGGAACATGTACATTTTGTTGAAGGAAAAAACCTTTTTTGGTAAGGATACTCAAGACTTTCACATGAGCCATTGAGGTTCAATGGGACTATCCCAGGTACGAAATAGCTTTGGGGTAAAACTAGATACCATTTATTGAGGAGTTTATTTTTGCCAGGCACTACGCTCAGGCGGCATAGTGGGTTGAGCACTGGGCTGCTAACAGAAAGGTTGGCAGTATGACCCCACCTGCTCAGAGGGAGAAAGCTGGGGCAGTGTGCTTCCAGAGAGAGTCCAGCCTCTTGGAGTGTCCCACTCTGCCCTGCTGTGTCTGTGGGGATTGACGCGATGGCAGTGGGTGACCGTACCAGGATCATCCTGTCTTTTCCAACCGTGCCACGAGGGAGGGGAGGCAGATGTTCCCCTCCTGCAGAGGCAGACACAGGCTCGGAGCAGTCGCCACATGCCCAGCCACTGATGGTGCCAATTGAAGGATGTATCCCTTAGGGGGGGTCGGGGGGGGGGGGCGCAACTCTGGATGGACTCCCCAGACATCACATTTTAAATGGGACTTCACATCCGTACCCCCTCATCCTCTGCCTGGCCCCCAGCCTGCCTCTCACCCCTCAGGGAGCTTGTCATCTGGGCAGGCCCCAGCCCTCTCCCGCAGTTCCCCGGGCTGCCTCGCCCGAGCCTACAACTTGAAATTAGCTCAACTTTCCAAAGCACTGGGGTGAACTAATCAAATGAATACGGACAGACAGCTCCGTGCCGGAGGTGTGTGCCAGATGAAAGCGGAGAGGACATTTTTAAGAGCTGGAAGTTTATTCATCGGAACCTTAATAAAACAATATGTCCATGGCCTGCGGCAGGTATAATTTTCATAATTTATGGGTCTCTGAGACAGGAAGCGAGCTTGGGGTTTTATTGTGTTTTGCACGATAAATGGCATTCCAATTGTCTACATGGATGTTCTTTAAGGACTCTTGTCTGGCAGGAACCACAGGCCTTCTGGAGCCCACCTGGGCTTCCAGGCCCGAGGCAAGGGATAATTATGACTACATCTGTATCTGTTAAGCAGGAGATGATTGAAAAACTCCCCTCTTCTCCTTCTGTCATTAGAAGACACTTCCTATGCCGACACCTATATTAACGTTTAACTGTTGCAAGATCAGGGGCTCTCCCGCCTTCTCCGTTCCACCCTCCCTTGGTGAACTTCCCCCGACTGGTTCCCCTCCCATTTGGGTGTCTCATGACCATCCAAGAGGTGAGATGGTGGGAGCTCCACCTTTGCAGTATTGGCCTTGCTACTGCTACTCATGGGGTCCTTAGGAACCTGTATTAACTCAACAGCAACAGGCATCACTTGGGGAATGCAGGTACCACATTATCATTTACTATGCTGACAACAATCCAATTCGGTTGATCTCTGCCTCGCAGCAGAGATGAGAAAAGCTGAAGGTCATAGGTCAACGGTGATGGAAGATTTACCCCACACAATCTGCACTCCAAAGCCTAAGCCCTGAACACGAAGGTGTTAGTCTTAACTTTCAGACCCAATCCAAACATCACCTCCTCTGGGATGCTTTCTTTGTGTCCCGCAGACAGGAGTCTCCTTCCACTTGTGCTTCTGTGGAAGTAGGGACAGTTTCTACTCTGCCACAGAATAGAATGGTGACGGACCTCGGATCGGATTAAACACTTAGGCCCTAACTCAAACGGATTGATCTCAGGAAGGACCTCCTGTCACTACCCTGGCTGCACAACGTGGCCACCAAGGTGTGCGTCCCTGCATGTGGCCTGCCTTGTGGATTCTCTGTGCTGTTGAAAGAACCTTTGCTTTTCCAGGCCCAACCGAGCTGTGTTTGGGGTGGCCAGGGGCAAGGTTTGGAGAAAGGGGCTTGAATCTTAACTGAGGAGAGAGGGAGCTGGAGATTGCTTCAGCTCATCCAGGAATCCAGGCTCCCTGGTGCTTCGTGGGTGGGTAGGGCAGCTGAGCTCTGTGTGCAGACAGGATGGGGCTCAGGTCATTCCCTTCCCCTTGTGCTTCCAGGGTGCTTTGTGGCACCCTTGGAGGAAATGGAGGGGCAGGGATCTGAGAAGACGAGATGGGACCCAGGGGATGGGGAGGCCCCTCCTGTTGAAAGCAGAATTCCCTATAACTCTTTGGGCTTCCCCTGAACTATTTTCCTGGCAAGGCCCCAGCCATCTTTGGATATCACAGGCACTCTGTGATGCTGGGGTCTCATCAGACTAGACTGAGGGTCCAGAGTCGCCAGGGCCTTGGGGCTCTGAGAAGTGGCTGCCTCCATCCTCGTAGGGCAGAGTGCTGTCAAAGAGCACTGCTCAGGCTCCTCCTGTACTGCCCTCACTTTGGAGGATCACTACCCTGCTGGCAATAGGTTGAGGTGGTATCATGACTGCGCAGCCATCACGGAGTCCTGGTGGTGCAAGTTCAAAACCACCAGCTGCTCCACCGGAGAAAGTAAGGGTGTCAGCTCCCCTAACGGTTAAAACCCATGGAACCGTTCTCTGTCCTCTTAAGAGGCTGTCCTTTAGTGAGTCTGGGTTTTGGTTTGATAGAGCACTCGGGCCAACACGAATAGTGGTAAGTGTGGTGACTGCCTTACGGATGAGAAACCTGACTTAACTGGAAAGCAGAGGGTGATACAAATCGACTTCTCTTAACCCCAGTTTCCCCTGGAGGTCTAGACTGTATAGGCAGGAAGTTGCCAACCAGTAGCCTGTGGTATTTTCAAAAACTTAATTGACCTCATTTGGAAATTAAGAGATTTGAAAACCTAAAGTTTTAACTGTTCTTAAATAGTCAAAAGAGCTGGCCCTTCGGGGAGGCCTTGTTAACTTGGCATCAACTGGCTGGAAGTGAAAAGCAGGGCCTCTTTGCCCAGTTCCTTTGGGCGGGATGCCAGTT